ATACTGTAGATTGACCAGTGACCCAGAAAACTTATCTAAAATCTCAGCTCATGCATTCCAGCCCCAATCCAGTGCAATGTCTATAAAATATTGGGCCCATTCCCCTAATGAACCTTTGTTCTTTGTTTTTATCACAAGATCCCATAGTGATGACTAAAATATGATATTTGTATGACAAAAATGTATCTTGTATGCAGAATATGATAAAACAGTGATAAGAAAGAGGTGTTACTATGCAATATGAATTTTGCTTTATGTTTTATAAATATAGTACAAGCATGCATTGCCAATTGGAAGTGTTTTTGCACTACAATATAACCTGTAAACAACAATATATACATGCTGAAATTGAACCTTTAAAAAAAAATCCTGTTGTACTAACACCATGACCTGGTTTCCAGTTTAATGTCATCTATTTTTGCCCTCACTCTACAATATGTGTAACGTCATCATGTACGACCTCGCTCTACACAATATGTGTAACGTCATCTATGTACGACCTCGCTCTACACAATATGTGTAACATCATCTATGTATGACCTCCCTCTACACAATATGTGTAACGTCATCTATGTACGACCACACTCTACACAATTTGTGTAACGTCATCTATGTACGACTTCGCTCTACACATTTTGTGTAACGTCATCATGTATGACCTCGCTCTACACAATTTGTGTAAAGTCATCATGTATGACCTTGCTGTGTAATGTCATCATGTATGACCTCGCTCTACACAATAGGACAATTTTGTGCTGATTCAGATGAAATCATTAGAATGACACCACCCAGTAAAAAATTTTGTTCCAACTTACCCAATTATTTGATAAAATAAAATATGTACAATCATATGCTGTCTCCACACAATGAGACATGTATACTTTATTCATTCATATCATACACATACGTGAGAGCTTTATTTGCTGCCAGCATATTACAGTCTGACTGTATCATACACTAAATTGTCATTAGATAATGTCATTTCCAAGGTTTTGTTTAGGCCAAATCATAGGTTAGCCATACCTTATTTCATTTTATATTGAATAATCTAATTGTAACTGTATTGAAAGGAAACATCACATGTGCTTTTTTGTATGGAAACTAATACGATCAATGTAATGAATACTACTATTTTGCTTCCAGGTTGTACTGGATGCGGCAATACCTACTGCATATGGAAAAAGCATGTAGCCAAGGAAAGCAATGTCACATAGCATAGATTTCCAGTCTATAGCACATGCATCTCAGGAGGTACTTCCCTCTCTTAAGTCCTATTCACACAAACAAGCTGCGGTAAGGCACATATTACTGCAATGCCCAGGAAGGTGCACTACGCATGTTGGTGTGATGTGATGTTTTTTATTGTATATTACACCCTAACACGCCTTGCTGATAGATGAACATTGTAGTGCATTGCTACAGTATCTCTTTTGGTGTGAAAGCCAGCCCATTTTGCCTGCCCTAAAGCAATGCATATTAACGCATGTGCGCTTTAGCAGTGCAACAGTGTGAACCTAGCCTTAATGTAACTTCAGTCACATTCCATTGTTAGAATATATGAAATAGTTGATCAAACAAACACTGTCACAAACTCCATTCAAAGACGGAGATCTATTGTAAACCCAAAAAACATCTGATATAGCGTTGTGACGCATAATGATCAGTGCTATGTGCATCAAAATTTTATCACAAGGTATAAAATATATGTAAGAAATAAAGGGGTGATTTATCAAATGAGCGCAGACTATTCAGTTAGCAAAGTGGATGTTCACCTAGCTTAGCCCATGAGGTGAAGTATATTCACTAAGCTAGGTGAACACTGCAAGTAAAATTCTCTTTTTTTCATTTTCCTTGTATGTGATTGGGCATTCCAAGTGAACATTATTTCACTTAATTTACAGACCCAAGTAAACATGCTCTGCTCTTTTGTAAATCAACTTCATAGATCACTTCAGATGGTCAGGAACACTCCCCTGGAAAAGTTTGCCAGATCAGGAGAGAATTTGGCTGTGTATGGCCTCCCTTAAAATGCAGAGATATGCTGTGTTGTCAAAATGCAAGATCAGATAGAAAAACAAATATTTTCAGTGATTTCAGTTCACATCGATGCCCTGCATTTGTATGCAACATAAAAATAGTAATGATTTAATTTTGTGCAAAGTATCACAATGTACACTACAGGGAAGACCCCCAAACGGCAATCAGACCGCTAGTTTAGCAATGTAATTCATTGTAATGTCAGCCTGCTAACCATGGGCATGTCCCAATGTTTTCCTGTGTGAACAAACCCATGGAAGTTCGGTCTTATTTGTAGTATGTAAAATGTATAGTGTGTGTGAATCAAAGTTAATTAAAACACTGCAATGACCTCAGCGTCTCCGTGGAAGTCAGTAAACTAATAATCTGAAAATGATTAGGTTAGGAATACAAATGACAGCAGAGTTTTTCGCTCAGGAGTTTATCAGTATAAGGCACAGGAGGCCTGTTTTTCCATCTCATAGCATGCAGCTGTACAAAGCATTTAAGAATGGACTGGCCGAAGATGCCTCATTTGTTTTGATCAGAGATTGTAAAAAAAATGTATGGATTTTCCCATCTACACATGTTAGTGGATGGAGGCATTCTCTCCTCTGTGCCATTGTACTGGCTGCAGCCGGTTGATCGAGAAATATTTTCCAACAGTCCTGTTCAACAGAAGTTGATTGTTAGGCTGACTTCTGTAAAACAGGAATGGCCATAGATGGACCGATATTCTGCCAGTCCTATCTGAACAGGTCCAACTTTGATTCTTATCTCTACATAGAGCATGGAGCTGAAGCTGATTGGCCTCCATGCACAGCTGCTCCAGATTCTGTCTGCTCCACTTTTGGTAAATCCACCCCCCCCCCATTATGTGTTGCTCTGGGAAGGGACTGACAGCAGGAACCCATCTAATCAACTTCTTGGCTGTAGCTTTTCATTGGATGCAATAGCTGTGTCACATTGCAGTTAATTTCAGAATATTTTCAGTTGGAACAATTCACACCTGTTGGAAAACCCCTCACAATTGGTCTTCAATCATTTCCCCATTAGCATTTACATATGGTAAAAGGCAACATCATAATACTGGGAGAACCTATCATTGGGAATACTAGCACACTTCGAGGACCCATTCACATTTATCATGCATTACTCTACATTAGGAGTGCTCAACCTCTTGGAGAGTGTGGGCCACTTACGTGATCTGGTAACCTGCCATGGGCCACAATGAAATGAAATGGTTCAGAATTTAATTTTTTTTATTTCGAATAGCATAATGAACATTTTCTTCCTTGTATGGCAGGAGGGAGAGGAGGAGAAACCTGCTTTCAGCAATTCCAGGAGGAAATTGAGAGGATAATTTCTTGTATATGCCACCCCCTGACACCCCTCCTGTTCAAGTGCAAAACATATTGTGATAGGGAGGCCACATGGACACCTTGGAGAATGGGGCGGGGTCGCCATTGCAACCCCTGATGCTACAACCATGGTTGGTGGGGTGTGTTAAAACACACATCTCAATTATGGAGTTTTACCGCCCCCCCCCCAAACCGCAAATGTAAATGAGCCCTTGCTGTCTTGAACCCCCAGTAAGGCTGATTTCACACTGATGCACTGCGGTTTACCTGCACTGTGGGTGCAGCGCAGTATATCTGCAGCTTTCCTGTGGGCCATAGGCTTCTTTCATATCTTTTGGATGTGATGCACGTTTTGAAAGTGCACCAAAACTTCTGCAATCAGTTTGAGGTCAAGGGCCACATCACAGGGCTCCAAGGGCCACAGGTTGAGCACCCCTGCTCTACATTCCAATAAGTTGTATAGGTTCATCTTAGGATGTGTTTGCTGGAAACTGTACCAAAGATAAAGAACACATCGCACCAAATCACAAAGATGTGAGGTTTCCCTAGCATTCTCCTAGGAGATCAGGTCATCTATGGGTAGCCTGTACTAAAAGTTCCCATGGTGGTTTCTATCCATAAGATGTAAGAGGGATTTAAAGGAAATCTGTGCTGTAAGAAGCACCAAGCCATAGCTGAGTTTTTCTTCAGAAAAAGCTAGTTGCCTGGCTGTTATGAAGTCCCTTTTAATTCAGTAATTACCTGGAATAAGAATGTAGAAAAAGATTTCAGTGTTTTCCATTTTCAAGTGAAAATCTAATTTTATGTTCTTATAAAATGGCAATAAAGTCCTATCATTATTATTATTCCTTGACTTGATTGATACTTGGTCTTGGGAGGAAAACATCAGCAACCCCTGTATTCTACTGTTGACTTTCCGGTTTTTTTTTTCCTACAGGGACAATCACACATGAATTACATCTATGACATGCTTCCTGGGCTGCTATCTTCTTGAGTGATACACATTTAAGATGCAAAGTATGCATATTGTGTGATATCATGTGCTTTTATTATACTTTAATGTAAGCTTTAGTGACACACATTGGGGCATTAAAAGCTTTGGATAAAAACACACAATAGTACATGCCCATACATGTAAATCTCCCCATACCAGCCTTATACAAATGGAACATTGGCAAAGTAGTAAAAAGCTGGTACAAAACCCTTTATATGTGCTTTTAAAATGTAATGCCACAAAGTGACTCTTGGTATGTATGTATACATTCTAAGGGGCATGTCTGATAAATGTATACAATTTTGTCATATTAAACAAAACTAAATTAATTACAACTTATGCATTTACTTGATAAGACTTTTTTTTAAAAAGGTTGCATGAAGTATAAAGATATACAGTATAGGTGTATGGTAATACAGCCAACCTTCTCATAGTTGCCCTTAAGCTGCCAAGGCATGCTGGGACTAATAGCTCTACAACAGCTGGGGAGTCAAAAGTTGACCTGCTGTAAAAATGTGCTCCTGAATGAATGATGAACAAATAAATGAAAGGATGAACAAACACTTATTGGCTCCCCCTGTACCCTTTCATCCTCCTCCCTGATATTTCTCAGTGTAGGGGTCATTTACCTGAGATTCATATCTCCATTCACCAGAAGTGACATGATGTTGGAGAGGTTTCCGCCAGGACAGCAGCCACACAGTAGTACAGCAATAGCAGCAACTTCATTGAGAGAAAAGATCAGAGCCAACAGAAAAGCCACCAGTGGCATGAGAACAAACTGACAGATGAGTGCTAGTAGGGCTCCAATGGGTCTTCTGAGATGTTCTCCTATCTGGCTGACCTCCACTGTACAGCCCAGGCCCAACATGGTGACACACAGAGCCACCCCAACAAACACACTCAAGAAATGGTTCAGTGGGCTATCCCAGAATGGAGCAGAAGTGGCTAATGGTTCAGCTAGAGCTCTCTGAAGCATCACTGCCATGCTGTTGGGTTCTGTCCTTTCATCTGCTATAGTATCAGTGGTTGCCATCTCCAAAGAAGAGCTTTCAAAGTTCCACAGGGAAGAGTTAGATAAATCCATTACACTGATACTTGAGTTTTCCATTCTTGGAAGTGTGATCAGCCTTGTTCCCTTGCTTCTGAATGAACTGGGACCAGTGAAGAGGAGGGGTAGGAGGAGGCAGGCTGGCCCTATCTCATCCTCAAGCAGCAGCCAGACAATAATCTGACCAGAAACAAGCTCCCTCTCCTCTATCACATCTCATGCAGCCATCCACCTCACCCTCCTTACCACACCCCCGCCACAGCAGCACAAGCACACTGACAGTTGATGGTCTATCCCCGTCAATGAGCTTCCCATCCTTCCTACCCAGTGATAGTTCAAATAGAATTCTTTTAGATTGTGAACTCTCACGTGCAGTCCCTTCCTTTCCCTCTCATCTTGAATTGTATTGTAACTGTACTGTCTCCCTTTATTTTGTAAAATTCTGCACAAATTATTGGTGATATATAAACACTGTATAATAATAGTAATAATTCTGCTCTTCCTTTATTTCTCATACAAGACAATAGACATAATTCCTTACCTAGAAATCTCTGCTAGCTCACGTTTATGTCTGATCAGATATTGCTCTCATTAATCTGTCTGATAACATTTTTTCGAACAATAACTGACAAGTCTGCTATGAATTGAAGGCTATTACAGATTATTTTGTATTACAGTTGACTGTCTGCTATTGAAAGGCTCAGAGTGACACTAAGCAGGGAATGCATGAACCCAACCAAGTGGGATCTGTCACTCATAAACCTATACTAAATATCAAACACTTAAGATACAATATCTTATCTGTGCAACCAGCAGTAAAAATAGGTATCTTCTTTTTGTCATATCTTTTATAATTTCTTGTATACGTTTATATGTTACATACAACGGAAAGAGTCAATGTCTAATCTGGAGTCTGGATGGGGTGGTCTCGCTGCTCAGGCTCAGAGTGTCTTCTACTCACTCAGACTGAAGTGGTAATGAAGATGAACAACCGGCAACCTGAAACATCCAAAAGTATTTATCTTTATTTATGTACAAGTACCACCGCATTACTATGATCAGTAGAATCTTGCAATATATCAGAATGTTATACTACCGGGCTTGCTGCTAAACACAGATGTGCGCTCCCACGCTAACCGAACCAGATAATTCAAAAAAGTGTAGCGCTACCTCAATTTTTCCAATACAGTATGTGTGAACAGTGGTGGAAATCTCCTGATTACAAGTAACTCCTTTATTGATGTGTGAATAATGATAGAAAGCTTTTATACAGAATATCAGTTTACCACTGCTATTTATAATGATACAGTTGCAAGAAAAAGTATGTGAACCCCTTGGGATTACGTGGAGTTTTGCATGAATTGGGCATAAAATGTGCTCTGAACGTCATCTAAGTCACAACAATAGAAGAACACAGTCTGCTGAACATAATACTACACAAACATTAGATGTTGCCATGGTTTAATTGCACATAACATGTAAACATTCACAGTGCAGGGAGGAAAAAGTATGTGAACCTTTGGACTTAATAACTGTTTGACCCTCCTTTGGCAGCAATAACCTCAACCAAACGTTTCCTGTAGTTGCAGATCAGACCTGCACAACAATCTGGAGTCATTTTGAACCACTCCTCTTCACAAAACTGTTTCAGTTTAGCAATATTCTTGGGATGTCCGGTGTGAATCGCTCTCTTAAGGTCATGCCACAGCATTTCAATCGGGTTGAGGTCAGGACTCTGACTGGGCCACTCCAGAAGGCGTATTCTGTGCTGTTGCAGCCATTGTTTTGTTGAATTACTTGTATGCTTTGGGTTATTGTCCTGTTGCATCACCCATCCTCTGCAGCGCTTCAGTTGGCGGACAGATGGTCGTACGTTTTCCTGCAAAATGTCTTGATAAACTCTGGAATTCATTTTCCCATCAATGACAACAATCCGTCCAGGCCCTGAGGCAGCAAAGCAGCCCCAAACCATGATGCTCCCTCCGCCATGTTTTACAGTGGGGATGAGGTTTTGATGTTGGTGTGCTGTGCCTTTTTTTCTCCACACATAGTGTTGTGTGTTCTTCCCAAACAACTCAATCTTGGTTACATCTGTCCACAGTATATTTTGCCAGTAGTGCTGTGGAACATCTAGGTGCTCTTTTGCAAACTTCAATCGTGCTGCAATATTCTTTTTGGACAGCAATGGCTTCCTCCGTGGTGTCCTCCCATGTACTCCATTCTTGTTGAATGTTTTCCTTATTGTAGATGTGTCAACAAAAATGTTAGCATGTGCCAGAGATTTCTGTAGGTCTTCAGCTGACACTCTGGGATTCTTCTTTACCTCATGCAGCATTCTGCACTGTGCTCTTGCTGTCATTTTTACAGGACGAACACGCCTAGGGAGAGTAGCAACAGTGCTAAACTTTCTCCATTTGTAGACAGTCTGTCTTACCGTGGACACATGAACATCAAGGCTTTTGGAGATACTTTTGTAACCCTTTCCAGCTTCATGCAAGTCAACAATTCTTGATCGTAGGTCTTCTGAGAGCTCTTTTCTGCGAGGCATGGTTCACATCAGACAGTGCTTCTTGAAACCAGTAAACCCAAAACAGGTCTGTGTTTTTTAAGGGCAGGACAGCTGTCAGCAACACATCCAATATCATCACACTGATTGGAGTCAAGGTTGGCTCACTCCTGGCTCCAATTAGCTCTGGGAGAAGTCATTAAGCTAGGGCCTCACATACTTTTTCCTCCCTGCACTGTGAATGTTTACATGTTATGTGCAATTAAACCATGGCAACATCTAATGTTTGGGTAGTATTATGTTCAGCAGACTGTGTTCTTCTATTGTTGTGACTTAGATGACGTTCAGAGCACATTTTATGCCCAATTCATGCAAAACTCCACGTAATCCCAAGGGGTTCACATACTTTTTCTTGCAACTGTATATTGAACCACAATGCATGAAAATAAAATAAAAAAAAAAAATTATAATTAAAATAAATTCCTATACCATACACCTTATATTTTTATACTGCAAAATAACATACAATACCTGAATATCAATGTCTTTACTCAAATAGTTAATCCCCAGGTGAGGAAGGTGTGCTGTGACCTGTTTTCAAGGTCAAATATGGAGGTGAGTGGTTGATACTGCTGGTGGCAGATATCACGTGGCGCAACTACTGTGGGATTGGCATTGGGCTCATAACTCAGAATACCATTAAGTGGGTTGTCTGTTATGAACTTATTGATGTACTGGATTTTATTAAGGAGGTTTCCACCACTATTCACTGTATGCACTATATGCTGTTGACATATTTGAGTAACGATATTGAGTTTAAGTATTGCATGTTATTTTGCAGTATAAAAACACAATCACAAGGTGTATGGTATAGGAATTGATTTTATTTTTCTTCTTTTTATGCACCGTGGTTTATAATAATATTCAAAATAGCAGTGGTAAGCTGATATTCTGTACAGGAGGTTTCCACCATTGTTCACACATTAGGAAAGGAGTTATAATCAGGAGGTTTCCACCACTATTCACACATAATGGAAAAATTGAGGTGCTACACTTTTTTGTATTATTTGTCTTTATTTGCTATAGGCCAAGTACAGGATTAAAAAAATCTTACACGTTTTGGCCATGAGGCCTTAGTCATAGCATTTTGTTCTCTGAACCATAAGACCCATCCATAACATTCATGTTCAGCTAAATAAAACCAATCAATAATGAAAAAAGTCTGCATCAGGTGATGAGAAAGAAGGTACAATATACAGAATAGAATACAGACAATAAAGGCTACATAACAGGGTGCATGAGATGTAAACATTGTACATAAATATAAATAAACAAAAATATAAATCAGAACATTGTCCACAAGACTAACACATTATCAGCCCTGGTAATAACATAGGTGGTTAGCAAGGTAATTCTATGAACAAAGAATAAAGATGAAAACCTTAAAAAAGATTATAATAATATTTCAAAAAGAAAAAATGTACCTAAACTGTATGTATGGATGTTATGGTTCAGAGAACAAATGCTATGACTAAGTCCTCAGGGCCAAAACACATACGTTTTTTATATCCTGTACTTACCCTGTAGCAAATACAAAATAAACACATTTGGATGTTTTGGGTTGCTGGCTGTTCATCTTCGTCACCATAATTTTTATATATTTTTTTATATGTTGCTTAGATGTTTACTACATTATTATTATTATTATGAAACCTCAGCAGTGGCTTGCATAAAGCCAGAATGGTCTCATCACAAAATTGGGACAATTTTCAGGATATAACTGTTGGAGAAATAGAAAGTGTAAGTGTACACAATGTAACATTAAACATCATTATCAGTGGAAAAGCAGGACAGCTGCTTTAGATTACTTGGTGATAAAGTAAGGAAATGTATTTAAAGCCAAAGTTTGTCAAACTTGTAGTTTTGACTGCAATACACTCAGTACACTTGTCACTGTGGGTAAGTCATTTGAAACCTCCTCTATTCAGAAAAAGCCTTGTCTTGATTGGAGGAGCTATGGATGAATGCCACAATCTCCTCTCCTCCAATCACAGAGTGCCTTGCATAAATTTAAAAGAATGAAGGAGGTGCTGAGCACTACTGAGTGTAGTGCAGCCAGAACTATAAGTCTCAGCACTGGACGTTTAATCTAAAAACATCATTAGAACAAACTTATTTTTATTGTGCAAATGGCCAAAAATTTTAAACTTCAGCTTTATAAGAAAAAAACAAATCAAGCAAAAATAGTCTGCATTTAATAAATTGATGAAAGGAGTACATTCTGGGTTGGGGTGCCAGTTTTAAACCTACCATCCCATAGAATTAAACTGTCCTGCTTAACAAGTACCCATGGTTGTTAGTGTAGTGCTTACCCCCAAAGGGGACACTGAGAAATGACCCAGGTCTCCCTTACCTGTTCAGAGGCTGCCAGGCCCAGACATCTGTTCCAAGCACACTGAAAAACATAAGCTCAGTCTAGGGTATGTCTTTTTGTGGATTTTTACATGGACAGTGGGATGCAGGTACAGGATTCTTCAGCAGGTGCAAGAGGACAGAGTCTCAATCAAAAATCATTTATCAACAGCCAGGAGGTAGAGGGGACAGCCAGTCCATTTGAAACTCTGTAAAAGCAGTCATCGTC